AACGGCAGTGTTTTGGCCATACATGATGTCCTACTCGTGTCCACTAACTATAGGTTAGGTTCGTTTGGTTTCTTATATGGCGAGGAAGTGTCGGCGCCCGGAAATGTAGGTCTTTTTGACCAGTTATTGGCACTCAAATGGGTATAAAATAGTTGTTTATTAATAAAAAATATTATTTTTATAATATTTAGTATACAGTAGTGAATGAATGAATGGCATAATTACAGGTCAGAGAAAACGTTCATTTATTTGGCGGGGATAGGGATCAGATCACTATATTTGGTCAGAGCGCCGGCAGTTGGTCGGTATCGGCGCAAATATTCTCACCCCTATCCCGGGGCTTATTCAAGAGGGCTATTATGCAAAGTGGGGCCCATATGTACAATAAGGACCGGGATATTATCAACACTACCGAAGCCCTGGCTATGGGCCACGAATTGGCGCAACAACTGAAGTGTAATTCATCTGAACATTGGTTAACATGTTTGCGAGGAGTGGACGCAAAGGAACTCCTAAAATATATACCCAAATATGTGGATCCGGTCGAAGGCACTGAGTATTTGCCCATTTCTGCACAAAAGGCCTATGAGACCAAAAAGTTTAATTCAGGTAAGCAAGGTTGTTTTAAAAATTGTATGAATAATATTAGAAAAATAATTTTAAATAGACATCGATTTAATGGCCGGAAATACATTAGACGAGTGTTCGGGTGCCTTAAGCCGTATGTTTCCCGACGTCCACAACATTACTGTCGACGTGTTTAAGGGATTGGTGTCGCAAAGCAATCAAGTATTTCACGGATTAGACACAGAAAACGTGACCAACTTTTATCTGAGAAATGTCGACCCCGAAGATCCCGGTGCCATTGAGCGGGCATTCGACGTGTTTTACGGCGATTTGATGCAAATATGTCCCACGTACTTGTTTGCCAAACAATATGCGACAAGTGTTCAACAATTAAAAAATATATACTTTTTTGATCTGACATTCACGAGCCAACACGTTACTAATATCACGGGCTGTCAGCCCGGAAAGGTATGTCATTTGGCTGACTTGCCGTTCGTGTTCGGTATGCCGTTTAGAGTGCCGGAGGTTTTCACTCACGAGGAGACTGTGTTCAGTCGCGATGTCATGAAAATGTGGACCAATTTTGCTAAGACTGGGTGTGAATTGAATTCAATATTTTGTTTATAAATATTTATTATTTAAGTTTTTAAATAATTATCAATTATTTTTCAAACATTTTTGTCAGTAAACCGGATGAGATATGGCCTCAACTTGTAGACAAAAATGAGATAAAAGTGCGAGATTTGAATCCACGGAATATGAGTCGAATATTTGATAATCCTTTTCGTGAAACTTGTGATGGATTTTGGAAACACTATTATTTGTAATAAATTTCTGAAATTATTTATATTTAAAAGACATTAACAATAAATACAAATTTAAAAATATTTTTAAATATAGTGTTAATTTATTGTATAATAATATGATAATAACTTTAACGAATTCACTAATTATTTATGTTCAATTACTTTTACTCTAATTATTTATTACTCTATTACAGTATAAGTCAAATTAAAATAGTTTATTTATCAAAATGATGATATTTAAAAATTGAGGCCTCAATACATTAATTCTATTGATAATTAACTAGTACAAACACATATCATTAATATTATCATTAATGTTTATTAAGTGTTTAGTATAATATTTACTAAATAACAATTAGCAGAATAATATTTAAACTTAAAATAAATTAAATAAAATCGAAAAACTAAGAATAAATTTATAGTAAAATACATTGAATTTGTACACAATAATATTCATATGTTACAATATTTTGATTTAATTAAACTTTCCAAAAATACAAATAAATTAAAGTATTATAACATTTAATACCTTTTAAATTCTTTATACATTAAATAATTAATATATGATTTGTTTGACTTACAATTTATTCTGTTATTTATGAAATAAAAATTATTACCAGGCAAGTTATTCTGAGATTTAATCTTAAAATAGTGTTGCGATAAATAATTTCCACAATCCTTCGCCACATTTGATAGCATTATAACAGAGAACCCAAACCACAAGCCAATCAACGAACCCACAAATGATATGAATTCCTCGAAAATAACTTTCGGTAAAGTCGTGTAAATCATATCCGGCTGTCCATCGGTCCACACAAACAACTGAAACGATGGCCACTCGTAATCCATGGACTCGTTTACGAAGTGATAGTATTCAGCAAAACAGCCGAAATTCTTACGACAATTGCGTTCACATTGTTTGCCAATAATGCTATCAATTGACATGTTTTTGCCAAATATGGCAAGGATTTCCGATATGTTATAATTGTAATACAATTTTGACGCTGATTTAGGTACTAGAAAGTTACCAGGCCATGTTTGAAACGTGTTCAATAGACTGTCTCTACGGCATCTACCTAAGCAATCGTAGCCTGAATAATCACCATGCTTAACGTAGTCGTGGCAGTCTGTATCGTATGGCTTTGGTAATGAATGGACCACAGTGCGACTATACGTTATGTATTGATACTTATGGTCATTTGAAACAAAAACTTTAGATTTCTTAAAATGGTTAATAATTTTTTCTTGACGCGAGTGTAGCTTAAAATGTATTTTGAGTATTGAATCGTTTATTTTAATTGATATTACTTGAACATTGTAATCCCTGTATAAGACATCATTATCGCACAAATAATCTGTGGCATCTGTACCGTTGACTTGCGCTAAAAATACATAACAAACGTGAAAGTAGTCCATCGACTCGAGTATAGGAGAGATTTCTGTACACAGAATATATTCATCGTTAGACTTTCGGTAGGATTTTGGTCGCAAAACATAACAACTGTCGTTGAAAACCTCTGCACTCGTGTACAACAACTGGAACTGGCTTTCAATTGACATTTCATTCAGTACGGACAGTGTGTACGTACTATTAGTGTTGTCACCTTTGATGAACGACATGTCCTTAATTAAGTATTGCTTTGCAATACATATACTCATTGCTGGTAATGATATCTCGGATATATTGCCGTATCGGACACTCGTAATAGTCGGGTACGAGAAATACATTTCGCATATTTTGAATATTTGATACAAACAACAGCCAAAACATAGTCCATGAAATATCGTAACAAGTAATTTGTTTTTAAATAATATTTTCAGATTTAAAATGTTTATTTTATTCATGGTTAAAGTAGTTATATGTTTATTTCCGAATAAATCTATGATATTACAGTATAAATCTATGTAGTAATAGTCACTGTATAACATCCTTCATATAGATCTACAAACACTAAAACTTACTAAAAATAATTAAATAAATTATATTACTTTTATATTAAATTATAAAGTTGATAGGTACGACAAGTATAATCATAATAATTATGTTTGTGACATTAATTGATTGAGTTTTAATGACTTTATTTAATTGCTCAAAACCTATTAATCGACTACATAAGATAAATTATTATTATAATTATTTTGTTTATAAAATTTTAGTTTATATACAATTTATAATATTGTTTTTAAAATATACAAAAATAATAAATCAATAAAAACAAATTAGCATTTCATATTTTATAATAAAGGTTAGTGTGGTAATATTAATTGTGACAGTGAATTTGTTTATTGTATCTATTAAAGTTTAATTTAATTAATAAATTAGATTTTTATAATTATTTTTTTTATTTTAATATTATTCTATTAACCTCTTTATTAAAACACCATTTTACTATTTTATTAATAAAACAACAGTAATAATATAAGTTAATTTTTAAAATATGTTTAACAACATTTTAGTTAATGACTTATATTTTAAATAAATACAACATTATTAATAAATGCAAAATTGTGAAGCAAAATTATTAATACCAAAATTAATTTACAAAAATACCATGTATACAAAATAAAACTTACAAAACAAATGGGCACCCAGCTAAAATACATACTACTCTTGGTAGCACCACTAGAATATCCATACCGTTCCACATAATAGTGTTGCATAAGAAGCCTGGCCTCAAGACTCCAAGACTCCTGAAACGCCTCAATGGTCTCCCGTTCCTCATTCGGTGCCAACGGGTCTCTGGCGTCGATGAATGAGCCGATAGTCTCTACCGCCCGATACGGACTCATAACCTTATAGCTAAACACTTCGTTCAGAGGGTTGGGTTTATAGTTGGGTTTATAGTCGGGGTGTCTGACAATGTAATGGTAAGGGACAATGAGTCCCATATTAAAAGCATATAACATGATCAGTAAGTTTAACATGGAGTCACTTTCTACAGTACGTTTAATATGCCCATTATACTCATTTACCAATTTGGTAACAGGTCGACCCCACGTTTTGTTACTTATAGGACCTAGTAAATTTTCACCAGCAGCGCAAAATATATGAAAATTTTCATCCCATATATGTATCTATTGAAAAATTATATGTTTATCAAGAGTTATGTATACGGTATAATTAATAAATTATTACTACCAATAGGCTAAATATACTTGTAAATATTTGCTTGTAAATACAAGTACCAATAAATATTGCAATCTATCATATTATAGACTTGTGTATTACTAAATGATCTTGCCCACATTCAGAGTACTGTACTGTACTATAGATATAAACTACAGTATACATTTTGACAATTAAAAATAAAATCCTACTGACCGCTTCGTGGAAAAACTGTCTCTCAGCGGGAACGGTAGCTAAGTGTAAACCATGGTGTAGAGCTTTCATAATGGTGGGTAACTGGTCATGGTTCTCCTTAATAGCAAAGTATAATATAGCAATGTTTCGGTAGTTTATGAAACCTCTCAGCAATACTTTCTATACGTAAGGACTGTTCACTAGCTGTTCAGTGGTGTGATTACCGGACTCCCGGAGCCGTACGCTCAATGGCTTATAGAAAGCCATTGATGTATATACTATGCAACTTAACCTACAAAAAATTAATACATTTGAAAACTTAAATAATCATGTTAACTAATAAAGATAAAATTTTTATTTTTGTTATTAACTTACAATAATATTTGAAAATACATTGTTTGTATTATGTGGTAAAATAAAAATATGCATACATTTATAGTTATATACAGTATTTTCTAACCCATATGTTTTATTAGAAAAACAATTATTTTATTAGAATTTATAAAGTAATTTTGTTCAAAAACTTACAAAAACATTTATTTACAAGACAACTTTATATATTAATAAACAATTTGTTTTTATTTAATTAAATTTTTAAATTAAATTACATTTATTATATGGAATTTCCCATAAATTACAAATTTATTTAACATTTCAATTTTAAACAAATAATTTAATTATAACTCAATTTGGACCATTTAATAAGAAATTATTACAACATGACAAAAATAATTATTAACTTAACAAAATAATAATTAAAATAGATTATAGTCTTAAGGATTTTGTGTTTGTTTTTCAACACTTTTATTTTCACTGAAATATGTATTACTTGTCAACCATTGCTTTGGTTTCCGAAATTTTTGTACAGAAAACCTAATATCTGTAAACATTATGAATACCGCCACCAGTATAACCGGTACCACTAGACAGGACACCACCAAGTATGCTGTCTCATAACCATAATATACATGAATACTTGAGGTATTATTAGTATTATTTACTGGAAATACTGTAGCTGATGGCATTGTTATGATAGCTGGCTCACTCGATGTCTGTGATTGTGCTAGAACACATTTACCACCATCGTGTATATCTGCTTTATAACCTGATTTGCATATACACTTACCACCCTGACACTCTCGACTTGCATCAGGATCCTGGCACTGATCGGAACTGGTGCAATCAAAATTAACACAATTTTTATTGTCCAATGAATGGCAGTCAGGGGCACAATAACAGTGTTTGTAGGCAGTGTGCCCAAAACATACCTGGTTACCAACGCATTCACTTTGCTTTGTACATGGCTTGTATAGCGTACTGTTCTTAACACATGACTTTCCTATTGTTCCGTGATTACTACTGTCCCGTTTGAATCCCGGTGCGCACACACACTCACCATCGGAACAGATCTCGTGATTTTCCCGATTGCACTGACATTCAGTAGGTTTGCATACCTGTGCCTTTTCATCGTAATGATAATTATTATCACATATACAGCTCCCGTCCCGACACACCCCATGTTCATCACTACATTCATTAT